AGTGAGTCAATTGCTCACTTTTCTCACTAGTTGCACAAATAACTATTTCTTTCTTTTCCAAGTTCGTTTGGCTCTTCTACCCGTACCCGACCGATCTTAAATGATTGAGGTCTCAAATTGAAGGCATGCACGCAAAGATTTCACATCAAGCATAGGCATATATTTACAGTATTACTCGACCAAAAAACATAATGTGATTCATTTTCAAATTCTTACTTTAATTTAAGGTGTATATCACCAGTTACATAATCCTATATATTTTGGTCTAAGAACCTTCAGTGAAATACCAGCTTTCATTTAAGCTATTAGTTATTAAAATCGGAAGAGTTTGAAGCAAACGTAAGGTGAACAACTAACCAAAAATAATTTTTCATGAGGTCTTTCTATGATTAAAAATCAATAGCTCCACTGTTTATGTTTTAGACTCAAAATATTCAGTAAATTATAGGCTTTTATTTGAGTTATTGATCTTTACAATTAGTTAAGCTCAAGATACTGTATTACTCAATCAAGAATCATAAATTTGATTATATCTTTGATATTATATTTATTCTAACGCTGCAGAGCAGAATGGGCCCTCAAGTTTGGTACCTACCCATTTATTTTACTCAGTGCTAATACCTATATCTTAAATTTCAAAGTCAATGTGGATGTGTTTCTTTATATCTTCCATAAATTAAACACTTTCAGGGCCTATTTGGCTTAGGCAAGATCATATAAATAAATTTCCATCAGGCAGGAATCTATTGTCTATTATACAGGGTGGGGCAATGAGACCGCCTCAATTTGTTTTAGCTGTCACATGTTAATTGTTGCAACAACGAATGATCAGCTGTGCTTAAAACATCAATTAAACTATGCCATTTTTTTAAATATTATGCCCGAGGCTATTAACACTGAGATTTTGATGTGCAAACCTATTTTTAAAATAGTGGTTCTTGTGCAAAAACTCAGAGATTGTTTGGACCACATTCCATCCTTAGTCAACCTGACACTGTTCCAGATTGGAAAACAATCATGAACAGGGTAAAACTATTTTGGATAAACGCTTAAACCTAAAAAATATTCGGTGGGTGCCTCAAAACTCTTTGTACACCAGCAAATGTTGAAAGAGTGCGAGTCGCAGTAACTCAAAGTCCAAAGAGATTTGCCAGGAAGCTGTTGTTAATGAAAGCTTTACGTTGGCTCCTTTTTTTGGAAAGGGGGGGGGGGGTTTCTAATAAGTTACTTGAAGTTCGAGGTTTTTCAAAGTCACCCCACAGATTTGCTTGAACCGAAGCTAAGAATTGTCCAAAAACTAAAGTGATTCCTGAAGAAATGCTGGAGGAGTATTTGATGGTGTTTTCAAGTGCCTAATGTCAAGTAGGACAAGGACGTCACTTGCAGGATTTCGTTCTCAAGAAATGGAAAAATGACTTTGTTAAGTTAAAATGGCAAAAGATAAGCTGTGTTTTGATGTGCTATTATACAGGGTGTCCCGTAACTCTCTGGACACTTGTATATAGCGTTATTCCTTAGGTCAAGACAAACATATTTCACCATAGGAACATGGGTCTGTGGTGTCTAGTTTACCGACTGTCGGTATTTATGTGTTTTTTACAAAAAAACTAATAACTCCTAAACGGTTTGAGATACAGCTTTGATATTTTGCAAAAATGTTAATCTTATTAAGACCTATTATCGTTAGAAATTATACTAAAAAATCATTAACCGTTTCAAAATGGCGGCCATTTAAAATATTTGATGCCAAATTTCACGAAAACCGTTAACTTTACAAAAAAAAATGCAAGAGACAAAAAAGTTTGCAAATTGTATGTAGTTTTCAATGATACCTGATTTGTTAAGATTGAATAAATAATAACAGAGAAATGTCTTCTTTTCTAAACGCATGACCACTTTTCTCCATTTAAACAATGCTAAACAACGTAAAAGGAGTATTAGCATTGTTTAAATGGAGAAAAGTGGTCATACGTTTAGAAAACAACACGTTTCTCTGTTATTATTTATCCAATCTTAACAAATCAGGTATCATTGAAAACTACATAAAATTTACAAACCTTTTTGTCTTTTATAATTTTTTTGTAAAGTTAACAAGTTAAAATAAAAGTTAAAATAAGTTAATAAAAGTAAAGTTAAAATTTCATGATGATTACATCAGTAGTTTTTTTGTTATGGCACGGCAACCTCTGCAGCGACTTCTGGCAGAGACTGTACCGTTGGAGCTTATGAAACTTGGAGGTTATGAACCGCTCTGTTTCTTTGATATTTAAACGTTGGAGTTTGTGAAATTTGGACATTGTGAATCGGTGATTATTTGAAAGTTATAGTTTTGGAGTTTATGCAATTTGGAGGTTATGAAACGCACTGTTTATTTAATATATTAACGTTGGAGTTTGTGAAATTTGGACATTGTGAAACTGTGCTTATTTGAAAGTTATAGTTTTGGAGTTTATGAAGTTTGGAGGTTATGAAACGCACTGTTTATTTAATATTTTAGACGTTGGAGTTTGTGAAATTTGGACATTATGAACCTCACCCATTTTGAATACTGTGCTGCGGCAAAGCGGCATGGCTAAACGTAGTCCACAAGCGTCTACAAGGTTTATTCTATTGTCTGTGCTACAAGTGTCTGATCACTTATGGCAAAGGAAAATATCCCCACCGCAGCAAACCTGCAGACTAAGCGAAATTCTATTTACCTGATTGGATTTACACTCATTGTATTGTCTCCTTAAAAATATGACAGTTATAATAGGGAATAACTTATTCCCTATTTAAATAGAATTAGTTTAACAAGTCCCCTACTTAGATTTGCTGCAACAGGGAGGGTAAAAAGGTGTTTTTTTATTTCTAAAATTTTGATAATTTAGTAAGATATAAATACATTTTCCAAATTTGATCAAAATATGTTCATAAGCAAGCAAAGTACAACAGTTTACCTATCCTCCATAAGAATAACATGGGAATTTAAATTGATATTATTTTTGAATTTTCTCCAACCATTGTGCGCATAATTAACGCTTCAATAAAATAAAACGCCTGTCCGTTGAAATAAAATAAAATAAAAAATATACTAACTTTTAAGCTCTACAAAATGAATGACTTGTACTATGGCGTCTCAAATGATATATTGATGTACGCGGATAATACAGTACACTACAATTTTTGCTAGACATATTAATCATATTATGGCCAAAAATTCTGTTAGCACATTGTTAAGTGAAACGTCTCAATGGTTTGATGGAAATAAATTGGCTTTGAATGCAGCCAAAACTCAATAAATTATGTTTAGCATTAATAAAAATGTTTCCAGTGACGAGTCTGTAAGATTGCTATGTTTCACCTTCACCCTGGATTCGGAGCTTGCGTGGGGTGACCACATACATAGATGCACTTTGTGAAAATTGAATAGAGTAAGAAATGTGGGAAAAATTGACTCGAAACGAATCCGTTTTATGAATTTCCGGCACAACATACTAGAGCTGAAAACGCACGGTCGTCCCATAAGTGTTTTTCCTCAGTACCTTACTTTTTTGAGGTAGGGGAGAGTTATCATACATATTCCAAATCCAAACAGAACAGTGGAGAAGGACTATTTAAGACTATTTAAGTCTGAGAAGGGGAGCAATCTTCCCCATTCCTCATCAATCCTGTGATTATCCATCATGTGCTCAGCAAGTCCTGACGTTGAAGAGGCGGGACATTGAAGTTCTCTTGTACTTGGGTTACTCTGATATTGGAAATCAACAAGTGTCAGATTTTACTCATCACAACAGTAACATTATATTTTTTTATATTTATTATGCCTGATTTGGAAACATTTTTTGGATAAATATTTATGATTTTTTTTAAGGCCTACCCTTCACCCTGAAGGCCAGAACTGCACAGTTTGGCCAGAGTCGTCTTCTCCCCACACACGCACCGTATTTTCGAACTGGCCTGAGCATAGGAGTCACGCGGTAGCTTTCTTCGAATGCGTACTTTTTAAGATCGACAGTCAACTATTGGAGATCTTGTGGCAATGGCAGTTATAGTGTATGTTATAGCAAATGGGAAAAAGGGAAAGAGAAACATGTGGGCGAAGTCATTGCTTGAAAGGGGAAAATATTATCATGTCAATATACTAACCAAACTTCAGCCGAAGTACAGTGTTTAGAGTTTGGAAGAACTATTTACGAACGGACGAACTAACTTAGCTGGAGTTATAAATAATGGTTGGATTTTTTATTGTCAAGCATGACACTGTTATGAGGTAATCTGTGAAGCCTCACAAAAAGTTAACGGCAACATTGCGATACTTTGATGCAGGCAAGACACTGGAAGATCTGAAGTTTAAAACTAGAATTGGACTGCGGGATTCCACATACACATACCTGCCTTAAGGGCAAGCTGCCTTGAGGCCGGGCCTCAGGTGTTTCCCATCCCGCCGTCCGGCCGCCAATCCGCCTCAAGGAATCGCCACACACTGTCAGTCCTGCCTTCAGTCCAAGACTGTACAGTCCAAACCTTGAGGCCAAAATGAACGTGTATGGTAGGCCTAACTATGGAATGAAATTTTGGTGTATCTGAAGTAGAGAAATTTACCATTAAATACAGTACCAGTTCAATCATCACACTTAACTTCTTTTTTATTCTTTTAGAGAAAATGAACAAAAATCTTGTTTTTTTTTTATTTTTGTATTACATTCCAACTTCCAACGGACAGCTCCATTTTGATATTTGGTACAATTTAGTGCAATACAAACAAGACAATATAAACTTGTGATCACATTACCTAAAAAATCATAATGTTAGGCATGTGTTTCGTTAGAACGTACACAATAAAAATGGACAACTCAAAAGTCAATAAGTTTTATCACTACGCAGCACAGGCACTTATTTAAAACAATGTAATTTATGACATAGTATTTTTTCGCCCAACTGAAAAGTTACATAAAATCAGTCAAAGAGCGTACAGAAGAGAAATAAAATCTTGAAGAAGGGGGAATGGATTCTGGATATAATTTATAATAATTTATTTACAAATAAGGACTAACAACTGATTTTAAAATTAAGTAACCTAATGTTCCCAAAAACGACCAGATGATGGAGTCAAATAGCAGCTTTCTAATAAGTAACCTGAAATAAACAAAAACATGGTTAGTAAATAGTTTGGTTACCACTAAAAGATAGCTCGGGTGGATTAGTCAAGATTTATTTATGGCAAGCACAGTAGTTGATTGAACAATTTGTAAAATATACATAAAAGTATGTAAATTTAAGCTCAAACTCATCAACAATATATTATTTGACAGTAGCGATTTAAACCTAGTATATCAAATGGTTTTTCAACTTTATTCACTAATTACAGATCACAAATGAAATTATGTTAAGTACATGACACAAACACGCTTTAAAACGTTCACTGCGGCTGGGTGATGGCCGGGAGCGTGGACAGGTCATGCACTGCGTGGATGAGTGTGTGAAAATGTTTGAATTTAGTTTTATCTAACAGGAGAGGCATATAATAGCATGTAACGAGTATGTGGACTTAGTTAATGGTGTTAACCTTATGAGTATTCACATTTAGAGGAATTAAAGAATTTGTGGCCCAAGGCCACGGCCTATTCGGCCTAGTAGTAAATCTGCACTGACTGTGAGATTAGAAATGTTGTTTGTTGTTTTAAATGTATTTCCAAGGGAGATCATGGAAGCCAACGGCATTCTTGGAATTGCCCGCTATAAGAGCAATGTTAATTTTGTTATTTTTAAACAGCCGCTGAAGAGTTATTTACCAAATCAAAATATATCTAGCCTTAGTGTGAGATTAGAAATTTGCTGTGTAGGTTTTAAATTGGTTTTTGAGTTAGAACGTCTAGTCTCCAAGGACTTCTTCTAACTGCGACAAAAAGAGTGAAATTATAAAAAATGTGAGCATTTAGTATTGTTTAATGAGTAATAAATAGGTGTAGAAACAATAATGACTATTGCGCTAGTTACAAAATATGGTTAATAATTTATTGAATAACATATTTCTTATACCGTCCGTCATAGTCAAGTCAAGTCAATCATTTATTTTCACATAACGTTTTACAGATCCAGCATAGCTGGGAAACAGGTGAAATGGTCATGGACAATTAAAATACATAAAACTATAATAACTATACAATATGCTAAGAAATCAAATATATACATCATTTAAAAAATCATCAACTTTGTAATACCCTTTATTAAGCAGCAATTTGGTAACTTCTTTTTTGTATTTTTCAAAAGATTCTAATGATTTAATATTATCAGGCAGTTTATTATACAGTTTTTTCCCTAGGTATTGTGGAAGGGTTTCTAGTGAGGCAAGTCTATGAATGGGCAGTTGTAAATCATCTCGATGTCGTGTTAAATAATTATGGTTATGGTTTTCATTCATAAAATATTCAAGATTTTTTTTTAATAAATATTAAAGTTTGCAGGATATAAACAGACGGAAGTGTTAATATTTTCAATTCTCTAAATAATAATTTACAGGATTGCCTAGGCTTTGAAAATGTCATAATTCTAAGGATCTTTTTTTGAATTTTGAAAATGGTTTCGGCATTTGAGCAGCTGCCCCAGAACTCTATTCGATACAACATGTTTGACACAAACAAAGTATAATAAACAATCATCCTTGTTCTGAGGTCAGTAACATGCTGCAGGACAGACATCTGGAAACAGACTGTATTTAGTTTATTAGCTAAAACTGATGTGTATTTATCCCAATTTAAAGTGTTTTGTACCTGAATACCTAAAAATTTTGTAGATGACGTTTCATTAATAATTTCCCCCTGAAAATTAATATTTAATTCGATGGTTTCTCTGTCATGAGTAGTTTTGAACCTGACAATTTGAGTTTTAGAACAATTTAGACTCAGACCATTTGCTCTGAACCATTTGTTTAAATCTTCAAAAGTTTGGTTTATCAAATTTTGTAAATTGTTAGGGCTGTTTGATTTTAATATAGCTGTTGTGTCATCTGCGTATAGAACAAGCTTTGAGTTTATGTTAAAAGGCAGGTCGTTAATATAGATTAAAAACAACAAGGGTCCCAATATAGAGCCCTGAGGTACACCACAATAGATCATTTTCCATTTTGAAAAGTTATAGATGTTATCTTTAAAAATAATAGTTCTTTGAAAGCGGTTTGTAAGATAGGATTTCAAAAACTTCAAAGCAATTGGAGAAAAATTGTAAAATTTAAGCTTAGAAAATAAAATATTATGTACAACACAGTCAAAGGCTTTTGACAAGTCACAAAACATTCCAGCAACATTCTGAGACTTATCAATGCTGCAGCCGACCTCCCACAAGAAGTCAGACAGAGCCTGAGTTGTATTACGTCCTGATCTAAAGCCATATTGTTCTTTTACAAAAATGTTATTATTTTCAAGGAAAAAAAGAAATTTGCTCAGTAATATTTTTTTCAAAAACTTTAGAAAAGGCTGGTAAGATAGAAATTGGGCGATAGTTATCTGAGTTTGTTTTACTGCCATTTTTATGAAGCGGTTTCACATCAGCATATTTTAACTGATAAGGAAAAATTCCACTTTCAAAAGACTGGCTTTCAATCTATCATGCTATCATGGAAACCCCACATAGACCAGCTCTGCAAAAAGCTAAGTTCAAGTCTCTACGTTATACGTAGGATCAAGCAAGCTTGCAGCCCAGAAGTAGCCAAAGTTGCATATTTTGCTCTATTCGAGTCCCACCTCAGATATGGCATTGCGACTTGGGGTGGAACATCAAAAGGCAACCTGGAAAGAGTACTCCTAAAGCAAAAAAGAGCAATTAGATGCCTTGCCGACCTGAACTACAGAGACAGTTGCCGAGAAGCCTTCAAGAACCTTAAAATTCTCACATCAATTTCACTCTACATAAGAGAAGTCATTATCCACACCACTAAAACAGCCCAGCCAAGACACAGAGACATACACCAGCACAACACACGACATGCCGCCAATTTTTCCCTCCCACAACACCATCTGAGTCTGTACGAGAAGAAACCATCCTACAAAGGTGCTCTGTACTTTAACAACCTACCAGAGCACCTCAAGAGAGAACAACCCAATCTGCTCAAGAAGCACCTGACAACATGGCTTATGGACCGGCCGTTCTACTCTGAGGATGAATTCTTAAACAATAAGCTACCATGAAAAAAGAAGAAAAAGAAGAAAAAAATTCTAATTGTAATTGCAAATTACTGTAATAGTTTACGTACATACTGTACATTTTATGTACCTGACACATGAATGTTCTCTAGGAATATTTCAATAAAGATTTTGTCTATTGTCTATTGTCTATTGTCTGGTTTATTATCTGACTTAAAGGTCCAGAAACAATGTTGGCAGTTTGCTTTATCAGTTTAACAGGAATTTCGTCCCAACCAGCTGACATTTTGTTTTTAAGAGTAAAAATTGCTTTTGCAACATTCTCTCTGGAAACAGGCTGAAAGTTGAAATGAGGTATGTAATGATTATTGAGATTAGTATCGCTAAGAAATTTGTGGGCATCTAATTCATTGAAGAGAGCAGAGTTACATTTCGCAATGTTGGCAAATTTATTATTAAAATGTTCAGCTATTTCTGTGCCATTACCAATTATGCAATTATTGTCTTCAATATTACTGAAACTAGATTTATTTTTAAGGACACCTAGCTCTGAGTTAACAACTGCCCATACAGCTTTACTTTTATCTACACAGAGTTCTTAATGTAATTACTGTGAGATAGTTTCTTGGCTGAGTTACAAACAGATTTGAACACCTTTTTATACCTCTTAACATATTGAATAAAATGCTGGTCATTTGAATGTTTAGCTAGCCTGCATAGTTCTCTTTTTCTAGCACTTGACACCATAATACCTTGGGTGATCCACTTTTTTGATTTTACATTATTTTTACAATTTGCTTTAATGCTTTTTAAAGGGAAGCAATGTTGAAAATCCAACTTAAATTTTTGCAAGAAATTATCAAAATTTTTTTGGGCATCATTAAGTACAGTGACATTCCATGAGGATTCATTAAGCACTTCTAAAAACCTTAGCGTGTTTCTTTTATTAAATATACGTTTTTTTAAACTATTGCTAGTGTTAAGCTCAGTTTTTAACCCACAATCAGTTAAGATAAACAAGGCTCTATGGTCTGATAATCCTAATTCTATATTGTAATACTTTGAAAGGTCTCTTCCTCTATTAAAAAGTATGTTGTCTATACACATTTGAGATTTTTGATTAATTCTGGTTGGTTCATCTGAGTAGTACATATAGCCATGACTTATTATAACATTTAAAAAAGAGTTTTTATCTTGCTTGTTTTTACAATCATTCAGAACATCAATGTTGAAATCACCTGCTATATAAACAAATTTGCTGTTGGTTTCCTTTTTTAATAAAACAAAAAACTGTTCTAACTTTTTTTTAAATAATTTAAAATTACTAGCATCTGGAACACGGTATATTGAAATGATGACTGATTTTGAACTTGGTATCTCAATACAACATCCCTCAAATACATTATCTACAAAATATACATTTAAATCATTTCTCTCCTTGACTACTACATCAGATCTAACTAAAATACAGGATCCACCATGTATACCTTCTTTTCTACAGTAAAAAGCAGCTAAGCTAAAAGAATTTAAAGTATTAAGAACAGCTATTTGATCAGGTCTTAGCCAATGTTCTACGAGACATATAACATTTATATTTGTGTTCTGTAAAATAACATTAAGATTATTGAGCTTGTTTGGAATCCCGCCTTGAATGTTTAAGAGCATAATACTCTGAAAATTCTTATTTTCCAACTTATCTAGGTTGTTAGGTCGATAAGTGGGTGTTGACAGTTTAAAGTGAGAGGGGACAGGATGGGATTGGAGTCAAGTTGGGATACATTTTCACTACAACTACTATTTACATTGAGTGATCTTGTGTCAGAAACAGGTGCATCCCCACTGTCACGTGTGATTTTCACCAAAGTTGATGCTGTTGTCGGTCTTCTATCAGCGACATAAAAGGTCTTCATCAGGTTCCCTAGGTGTTGTCTAATCCTTACAACAAACTCAACATAAGAAAGACCACATCTTAGAATTCTGGTAGAAGATTCGTTGCTTACTACAATCATGACTTTAGCTTTTGTTTTTTGGTGGAGCTCACATATTTTTGTAACAAAATGTTCTATGGGGATATTGTCTCTGACACAACCCATTGGGGAACAAACAATTAGTTGATGCCTTTCTGGTGATGTGTTCTGTATGAAGCTTTCGAAAGATTCATTATAGTCTTCAATGTTGGGTTTTGTGTTAAACTTAGGCTTAGTTACTAACCCATAAACAACTGCATTGTGGAATTTTGGTAAGACAGAGATTTATTAACAAAATCTGTCGTCAAAGGTTTGTTGAAATGTTTCTTGAATGCAGTTGCCACACCTGCACTCATGTGCCTGTCACTGTCAATATCGGCAGATATGCAGTGGGCAAAAGCTGTATGTTTTAGACCCCTTAACTTGTGAATCACGGTGTTCATGTCCGCCTCCATCACAGTGATCGGTGCATCTTCAGTAGGCATTTTGATGTTAAGTTTACTGTAAGACGACGAACTTAAACAGCAATCCTGGAGTAGTCTTTTAATTTCCTCAGCAATCTTCCTTTTTCCTTTCTTGTTAAAGTAAAGTCCGTGGTTTGTATATAGGTCACGGGGCAAAAGATGTAGTTCTAGAAGTCTGGTGTTTGATGTTGAGTTCTTCACTTTTTCCGTAAGCTCATAATTAATTTGAGTGATTTTACTGTCTAGTCTAGGTAAGTCATGGCGCATAGGAAGAGAAGCAACTATTAAATTAGCCTTTATAGAACTATTCAGTAAAGTGTGAAAGTCTTTCATGACATTCTTTGCGCCGTTGTGGTCAACATTGTTGGTTCCACCCATGATCAAAATGAAATCATTCTGGTCAAAGTCTTTTGAAATTTCAGAGATATCTCGAATAACATCAGTCAACAATGCCCCAGGTTTTACAACGGCCGTTACATTAAGATTGGTATTCTGCGATAAGAGGTTACTAAGTCCTCGGCCATGACTGTCAGCCAAAATTAGTAGCTTATTAGATTTTTGTAATTTTGTCAAACATGGATTTCTTTTTCTTTTTACAGGCATAATCTTTTTGTTTGTTTGGGTCACAGTTTCACCCGATGGGTTATTGTGGGTTACTTTTTCGCCTGTGGCACCTGCTTCAGAAAGAACCAAAAACTTGTTGTTACATTCAATAGTAGGGACCTCATTGTTCTCTGGTATTTTTAGGGGATTTTTAGGCATTTGCCACTGATCACGATAAGGTTGAGAATTTCTTTTATTCAAATTTGGAAAACAATTTAGACATTTTGAGTTATACTGATTACTTTCCTGTGATTCTAATTTTGATTTCCTTAATTCAGCATTGTCACATTGTAGCACACTAATTACAGCCTCTAAAGATTTTATGGAGTCAATCATATTTTTGGTTTCTTGCTTGAGTACTTCACATCTGTTACAAATAGCTTCAGTAGACATTTTTCTCAAAGTGTCCTCTTCGATAGCAGCTTCAGCCGTTAGTTCTTTATTAACATTTTGTAACTTCTTTATCTGGTTTTCTAAGTGTGAAATTTTAGAAAATTAAATCATCTTCCTTTTCTAGATGGGTTTTAATCAGATTTTTTATTTCATTGTCTTTCCCTATTATTATATCCTCTAGTTCCAGTTCACGGCAAGTTTTAGTATTTTTTGTCTCATGCAAGGCATGTTTTAACTCTTCATTTTCTGTTCTGGTGCTGCTAGCCAACAAATTACTGGCGACAGGTCCACTATGGCTATGAAACGTCTGTATAGGTATACATAGTCAATGCTTTTATTTAGAATAGGCTATTTACATACATTATATGCTTGTGACTTTGTCAATTGCACACATGTGTTTAAAGACAATAAAAATCTTTGACTTTGACTTTTGAGCGATAATAGGTGAACGACTATCGCTTAAGTCGCTCGAAGCAAAGTAGGCCTTTAACCACAAAAAGTGTCAAGATTCTAAACTTTAGAAATAACAAAAGATGGTGTACTTACTTCCGATAATGTTTGATTCCCTGAGGTACAGTATCCATGGGCTCATTGATCAGATAGACTCTCATGCCTTTCAACCCCTGAAGCCAGAAGTAGTCCCAGTCTAGCTGTCTCAAGTCATACAGGAACAGCCTACAACAAAGTGATACATCTAGAAATAGTTAACGTGTTCACTACCGATCGTCAACTATAGTTGACACCAAACTTTACTAAGTCTGCATCTACTAAGTCTGTCTTTACTAAGACACTGCCTTAACCGACGGGCCAGATGTCCCTTTTGGACCAAGTTTATTTAATTAAACATACCCACAGACCAATCTTTTCTATTCGTTTTCCTGATCGATTATTTCAAATAAGTTTTGTCATCGGCTATAGTTGACATTGGTCCATCACTTACTTCGTTGTATGTCTGATGTCTTTATAGATTAGTAGTATCATAGATGAAGTAATATAATGAGATAGGCAGCCATATGGAGTTAAGCGTGGGCGTTTTTTAGCCTAGTAGTGTGCTGCTCCTAGCGGCAATTGCGAGCCCTAAAATCTGCGTTACCAACGGAAGCGCAAACAATAGCATTGTTTCCCATTGTACATGCCCGACGCAACTTCGAGAGGCCGCTTGCCGGCTCATGGATAAAGTTTACTGTGTCTGTTGCTTGATATTTAACCTCGCAGTGTGCGTGTTAGCGTTAAAAATGTTATTACTAGCTACTATATTATTAAATAAATAAATAATACCTATACTAGTGGATATTATGTGAATGAAGTATTATTTTAATGTTAGGCCTAATTAATTAACTTTAATAATAGGCCTAACTAAATTAGTATGCTATATTTATATTACGCATAAAATGTTAACTAACTATATAAAATTTATTCGATTTACTATTATAATTTAGCATTTAATTATTCACTTGGTTGGGACGCAACAAAACTCAGTTTACCTATGTTTGTTTACTTTTCTGGTTAAAAATACAGAATGTCCATACGTTTTATTTTCATTTCCACCTAACCAAATCTAGATTTCTAGCGAATTTCCCTATAAGGAAGTACAGTAGCTATTAACGTAGGTGGCACGGTAAGACTTAGGCCCGGGACCGATTAGCATTTTCATTTCTATGTCCACAGGGGCTAAAAACACTATTGATTGAAATTGTTATATGCATTTGTTTGTATGTAAACTAGGGGTCTGCGGGTCCCCGATTTTTTCGGGTCGGGTCGGGCCAGCGGAAGGCCCGAGAGACCGGGTCGGGTCAGAGATTTGTTCGGGCCAAGATCGGGTCGGGCCAAAAAAAATAATTATTAGGCTATTTTTAAAGTTGTAATAAGTAATTTTCAAAGAAACACTCTTATATACATTATTACAGAGGAATTAACATGTTAAAATTAGAATTAAATATTAAGTTTGCTCACGTTTAAGAACAAAGACACAACAGAGCAATTATTGCCTGTCACTAGCCAGAGCCAGTCGTCTACTGACAAAACAAAAGCCGTGACGCTACAGTGCAAAGAAAACAAAGTCAAAAGAAAGACTATTTATCCAGAGGTACCAGTTTAATTATTTATTGTTTACACCATACCTAGTTTAAATTATATTTTAGTATTTTATTTACATAATAAATTATAAACAAAAGAAATATCTGATATCGTGTACAGATCTGTATCTTGTTCATTATTTTCCTTTTGTCCTTTTTGTCATTCAGTAACAAAACAAAACAACACTTCTGATCGTCTGGTTCGGCATTTTATGGTCACTATTTAATTTTTTTTTTTTTAAGTATCAAGTATCAACAAGTCTACAAAGAGGTTAGGCCTAAATATTTTATAATTTTATGAAAGTTTTCATCAGTAAAATTATTTTTTTCTTAAGTTAGATTGAGTTTCAAAAAAGATATTTCTAAGATCCAATACAATATTTACAAGACACGAACTACCATGAATTAATTTCTTTGGAAATTATCTGTAACAGTTTTATATTTTTGAATAAAGAAAATATATCTTTTTGTCTCTACTTCCTTGTTTTGTTACTTGTATTTTGTCAGCAATTGGAACAACCGGGTGGTGTAATACGGGCGGGGGAGGGGGAGGGTCTATGACCTTGAGTGTCCCCGGGCCTGGCTCGGGCTGTGTAAGATGGGAGGGGAGGGGAGGGGGAGGGTCTGTAACCTTGAGTGTCCCCGGGCCCGGCTGTGAGAGTGATTCATGGTTTTTTGTTTACATTCTACTACCCTTCCTTCCGAGAAAAAGACCCTACAGTTTCAAAAACATTGACTTACAGTATAAAAACATTGAGTTGTGTTGCTAATTAGGGCACTATAATGTCTCTGCTGTCTGCTTATGTTGCCAAATTAGCATTTAACTTTCTTTTTCTCTTGATTTAATAATTTTCTATATATTAAGAGTTCCTTTTCGGGTACCTAATAATTGTGATATTGTTTGACTTGAGTTTATGGATTTTTAATTCTCTTTTCTATTTATTAGCTAAAATCAGTTGTTTTAGGATTTTAATCTCTTGCAATACCTATTACTGTGCCTATAACTGTGTATCTATGACTGTGTATCACATGATATGCAATTTTTTACAGTCTTTACTATAACTATACCATAAACAATGTATGTGTGTTATTTATTGTTTTAGAGTTTTATAGTAAATTAGTTTACACAATATCTTTTCTTCAATGAGTTCTCCACTTGTCATGTTGCTTAGTCTATTACTATTTTAGGCCCTATAAAAAATAATTCCTATGTAAAGCTGTAGGCATACTAATGCCAATAATAGATAATTCTTTATTTATGATGATGTAACTAATAATGCTATTGTAAGTGTGAGAGGAGGTTAGGAGGCAGGGAATGAATGATTCATATTGCATGGTGGAAACATAGAATTTTATTTTCTTCTTGCTTGCAGTCTTGAAGCCACAGGCCCTAAACTTGTGATAAGGTAATTGATTTGTTTATGATCCATTTATATTAAGTTCCATTACAAACTTGTTGTAATATAGCTGTTTAGATATTTCAACAGTTATGAAAATGGGAAAGAATGGCTTGATAAAAAATATTATTTCTTCTTTCTTGCAGTTGAGGCAACTCCTAAGCTGTAAATAAGTTATGAACATGAAATAATATACATAAATACAATCTTTTTCCATATGTTATTTTCAAGTAATATTTATAAACACAGTAGGAGTTAAAAAAAGAAAAAAAAATCCCTGTAATTAATAATTTTTGGCCCCGACCCGATTTTGGCCCGAACCCGAGGACCAAAATTATTGGCCCGACCCGACCCGACCCGAACCAAAAAAGTCTGACCCGCAGACCCCTAATGTAAACGCGATTAATTTTGTCCTGATTTTCATGAAATTTTGGGTTTAGGGCGTGAGAAACTCAATGAGATTAAGTTTCAATTTCAAAAATTGTAAATTTAAATTCGTATGCTATTAATTAAACTGGAAATAATATGTTGCCCAACATTTTGAAAATCTTATTTATTTCATCCTGTACTAAAAATTTTGTAGAGAAACAATTGTTACTCATCCCATACCAAGCAAACCTAATCACTTAAATCGTAAATCTAATGTTATTCAAACTGGGAAATAAATTTGTTTTGTTTATGGAATTTTTTTAGTATGAATCCAATTACGGAAATTTAAATTTCGCTTTGTCAGCAGGTTTGCTCTGGTAGGGGTATTTTAAATTAAAACTGTGCGTTATTTTAACAAAAAAGTAAAGAGTTTGGAGTTAAAGTAGAAATGTTTTATTTTGAAGATATGAATAATATGACTAAAAATCTGGACAGGGCATTTTTTTTTTACTTAAGGAATGTCATATCACACCTGCCAAGACATTCCTTTTTATTGTACAAGTAAATTTTAACTAATTAAACATAAGTAACATTGTGACTACGGACACTATATCTGGGTTTTAAAACTAGCAACATTATGTTTTTGCACGTGGTTTATAATTGAAGGGACACTGTTAGTGGTATATCAAAGATACTGTAGTGGTATCATACAAGTGTAGAGTGACAAGTTATAAGACAAGTTATAAATGAGTGAAAGTAAGACAAAATCGGTTATAATTATCTAGAAATAAATGTGGAATTGTCATTTTACTAAACGTTGATTCCGTACTCAGGATGTGCACATAAAAAGATCCTCAATTTAACTTTTTTATCTATAATGTTTACGGTGTTTGTTAAACGCCCGGCGGCATCAAAGGCGAGACGAGTCTTCACTTCACCAACCCGCCTCGGTCGGCAGTCCTGGGGTGGTTCGGAGTACGTGACTCGCCACCGGCGCCGGGGATGACACACCGATACAACTATATGGCATGTTGTAAATCAACCAAGTCAATTCACACTTCTGTACGAGTTTGAGTGGCAGGGTATTTTCTTTTTTGGTTATTCTTTGTGTTAGTGTTGTGCCGGACGTGGACTGAAGAGGTTCAATTCAGTTAGCCTCTATGTAGTCGCAGTTGTTTCGTTAAACATTAGTTTTTATTGGTATCCATGTGCCTCGTGATAGTTTTTTTTTTCAATACGTATCGTTATTAGTTTTTTTTTTAAGTTGTGTACAGGATTTTAGTGAACTAGTTGCAATGTGCTTTTAGATATGTCAGGCGGAAGTAAAAAGTGTGCGTTTTTATCATGTACGTCATCTCAACCAAAAGATGGGTTGCGATTTTTTAAATTCCCTGTAAGAAATCCGGAAGTATGTGATCGTTGGGTTATCAATTGTGCTAACAGCCAGCTTATAGATTTGCCCCCTATCTGCTCTCAGGTCTCGGGTTGTTTGCGAGAAACATTTTGAGCCATTATGCTTCAACAATCCGTCTAAGAGTAGTAAATTGAGAAAGACGCAGTGCCTACTTTGTTTATTCAAAAACACCGAAGTGCATCCAGACCTCGGAGTACACCAAACGGTCCCCAGAACAACCTCAGCCTCAACAACAACTGATGATCCCAACAGTCAACCGCCGTTATCTTGGATCGACCGACAACGACAGATGCACGTTGGGGCTGGTCCATCATCACTCGCGTTACAGCCTCCGCCACAGCTACCTCTGCCTGGACAATCTCCGTTCCTGCCTACGTCACCACCACAGTCATCATCGCCTCTGTCTCAACACCCCCAGTT